CTGAGTGAGCCGAGTTGTTGTTGGCGGCTCTCTGACAGCAGGTTTCCTCCACTGCTGTATGACTCGTCGCACGCGCTTGGTCACTGGTTTGCTGAAGTTGTTGGCGGCTGCCCAAGCTTTTCCGCGGCTGGTTGAGCCACGTTGCACGTGCTTGCTTTGTGGAGATGCTCGAGCGCTCTCAGCGCTGATTCGCTGATAGCAGTTTCTCTCCACTGCTGTATGACTCACTTTCGTTGATACATGGCGACTCATGCGATCCTCGCTACTCAGCGAGGCTCGGAGCCAGCCGCTCCATGCGACTGCTCGTCCTGTGGACGTCTTGACTCGCTGATCTGTCTTGACTCTTGACTTAACTTCACTGACTTTTGAAAATGCGGTGGAAAAGGGGGGGGGCGTGGTCTGTGTGTGTGAGTTCGTGTGTGTGTACAGATGGCTCCTGCGATAACGATATGTTTGTCCTGCAGTGAAATTCCTCTCTCGCGCTCTTCGGGAGAGACAAAGGTGGTCGGGAGTACCTATCTCTTTATACTTTCGACTTTATATTTCTCAAATACAATTTGGTCCCATGTTCGCCAAGACTCGTGTTTGTAACTACGTCCTCCCGACACCCCTCTCGGGTTACCGAGGTTCGCATTGATATGATGGAGTTATTAGAAAGAAAAATAATTTTCATCCTGAGTTTAAGAGGTCCGTTTCCAGATTGTTGGAATCCATATCCCTTGGTTCTGTAAGGTTCTATAATGGAATATCGTTTAAGGTTAACACGTTATTATTAATGTTATATTGCAATTTCTTTCAAACTTGTTTGTCTAGTTGCCGTGTGTGGGGTGGGGTGTGTCTCCTCATCAAACCCGGCTGGCTTTTCCAGATGGCCCCTTGTGATAAGGTGTAATTCCTGCTTCTCCGCGCTGTGAGAGAGACAAAGGTGGTCGGGGTTGCTTGGGATATTGTTTAAACTCTTTCGTAAGTTTGCCCGTTCGCCTCATTCCTTCTCGATAACCTTTGATGTGACTCGGTATTTTGTCTCCAAGCTTTGTTTTAACAGTAAAATTATTAAAGGTGAAAATCATTTGATAGCGAATTAATTATTGGATAATAATTCACTGATGTATCTGGTGGCCTGGTCTTGATTGGAGTGAGCGCGAGGACCGCTAACTTTAGCTTATTCTTGTTATTGCATTTTAAATTTGAACCGTTGTTTTAATGACAAAATAAAAAAATATATATATGGTTTAACCCGTGGGCGTCCTCGTTTCTGGCTTGCGGGAGGGCTTCCCTCTGCGTGACCTCCCTTAGGGCACATCAAACTCTTGTTCATCTGGAGATCTTCGCAGATAGCTGCTAACATCCTCGCCTCGAGAGTTTTATTATTTCTTTATTTTTTAATGGTCTGTTTATGATCGACATCTGGTTTTTCGTGTGCCTGGCTTACGGGTTTTATTGATTATTATTTTTGTTTGTTAAAAAAATATTATATAACGCAAATATTATTGTTAATATCAATTTTGGAAGAGGCTCATATACAACAGTGTCCACGTTGTTTATTACGTGTCCACGTTGTTCTTCGCGTGCATTGTTTCACGCAGTCGAGAAGAGCGGGTGGGCTAGGCGAGGGAATGTCATGAGACGGAATCATCATCATCACAACAATAACAAAGATGACGACGATGATGACGACGGTGATGTCCGGTGGCCAAAGATAACAACTGTCAGGTGAATAATGGGAGCGCGTCTGACAGGACATCGATCGGTGAGACGGAGCGGTGAAATCAGTTCTAGTGCAGGATAGTACTGCATCGCAGGATTGCGTCAAATGGAAGCGGCTTAGGGAGGCCTTCATCCAGCAGTGGATTAAGCATGGCCGATGATGCTCGATACTGAATAATGCTACAATTTAAACTCGCACGGCCTCAAGGTGTCATCGTAACGCGAATGGCAATCAGGTAGAACAATTGTTGTTTGTGACTGTTGGACGCATTTGAGCACATTCCCCGTGAGTTAAAATCAAACGAGCGGGATTGAAATTGACCAAATGGCGCTGCCAAACGTATTGAGCTCCAACGTCGCCTTGCATGAGCATTTTCCACCATCACGTGACGTATCGCACCTCCTGTTTGCATCGCCTGGAGCTATTTGCCACGAGGTGATCATTTCCTGAAACAGCACGATCAGTCTTTCCAATGCCACCCCCTCCTCCATTCTTCCGCTGCAAGGAGCCAGGTGGGCAAGAGCCGCTGGGGCTCTGCGAGTGTTGTCCTCCAGCTTGTGCGTTGCATGAGACGCGTTGCAACACCGAGCCCCGTGAACGCAGCCGCGGTGGAAATGCAACAAACGCCAGCAGTGGCGTAGCCGTGGAGTGTGCAGGCGGTGAAACTGCACCGGAGCCGACGGACTGGAGGGGCGACATTTCCGGGATACGAAGAGCAGGGGGGTAAGGGGGGGGGGGTAAAGGGGGGTCAATTGTACACGTGGAGTGCGAGGATGGTGGCAGCAGCAGCAGCGCGGTCCCAGAAGTGGGATCAGGACTCGTGTCGGCGGCGAGGGGCATTGTCGAGGTGTTTGTTGACGATGGCTGTAGGTGGTTGTCGTTGGCACGAAGATTGTGGACTCACTGGTAGCGTGGACTCACTGGTAGTGTGGACTCACTGGCAGTGTGGACTCACTGGCAGTGAGTCCACACTGTTAGTGTGGACTCACTGTCAGTGTGGACTCACTGGTAGTGTGGACTCACTGACAGTGTGTACTCACTGTCAGTGTGGACTCACTGACAGCGTGGACTCACTGGTAGCGTGGACTCACTGTCAGTGTGGACTCACTGTCAGTGTGGACTCACTGACAGCGTGGACTCACTGGTAGCGTGGACTCACTGACAGCGTGGACTCACTGGTAGCGTGGACTCACTGGTAGCGTGGACTCACTGACAGCGTGGACTCACTGGTAGCGTGGACTCACTGACAGTGTGGACTCACTGGTAGTGTGGACTCACTGTCAGTGTAGACTCACTGGTAGTGTGGACTCACTGACAGTGTGGACTCACTGGTAGTGTGTGAGAAATTTCTCATCAACCGCTGAATGTCACTGGCCCTGTCTGGCTGTGTTGGTGCCATCTAATTGCGTCGTTAATACAGCTACGTCGTTAATACAGCTACGTCGTTAATACAGCTACGTCGTTAATACAGCTATATACGTCGTTAATACAGCTACGTCGTTAATACAGCTACGTCGTTAATACAGCTATGTTGTTAATACAGCTACGCTACCCCATTCCTTCTGATCACTGTCACTGCAGCATGACTCCCATTATATCGGGATTTTGCCTGTCCCGTGTATGATGATGAAGAGGTGTGCAAGACATTGTCCATATAGTCCCAGTCACTTGAGGAACTCAGGACACAGGCCACCATATCCCGGTGCCTCTTGAATGTTGTGGCCTGGGAGGGCTGCTCCGGTTGTTAGATCTCCTGCGTGCGGTCGTAGTGATGGTGAGTTGTTTCCGGGCAGCTTGTCAGGTGAGCTGTCCATTGGTGCCTTGGAGAAGGACAGCACAGCACGTGGAAAGCCACGACATTCGCTGTGGTTGTGGGCGGTCTGTGCTCTGTCGGTCATCAGGGACCGAAGGTTCCAGCAGTGCGGTGCCCTCATCTTAGTCACCGGCTCTAGTTGCCAACGTGCCGTGGAGCTATTCCGATACACCTTGGAGATGTTGAGTTGTTGTTGTTGTGGCAGATGTCAGAATGTGCTCTGCATTTGTCGACGTTTTCAGGATTTGTCTCCGAGGGTTCCGAGGTGGCGGCCGTGGTCCGTGATCGTTGACGCACAGCACGTGACCGCCGGTCAGTGTTGGCTCGTTGGACAATGGCCTCTAATTGTTTCGCGAAGCTCCGAGGGGCAGCTGTCCCGTCCTCTGAGACGAAGCGTGAGTCTGGGCTGCAAAGGCATTTCCCATCGCGCTGAGTGGAAACGTACCCGCCTGTTCAGTCGCATAGTACAAGTCACGTGTCCACTGTTCAAAGTCCCATACTACAAGGCACGTGTCCCACTGTTCAGAGTCCCATACTACAAGTCACGTGTCCACTGTTCAGAGTCCCATATTACAAGTCACGTGTCCACTGTTCAGAGTCGCATACTACAAGTCACGTGTCCACTGTTCAGAGTCCCATAGTACAAGGCACGTGTCCACTGTTCAGAGTCCCATACTACAAGTCACGTGTCCACTGTTCAGAGTCGCATACTACAAGTCACGTGTCCACTGTTCAGAGTCCCATAGTACAAGGCACGTGTCCACTGTTCAGAGTCGCATACTACAAGTCACGTGTCCACTGTTCAGAGTCCCATAGTACAAGGCACGTGTCCACTGTTCAGAGTCCCATAGTACAAGTCACGTGTCCACTGTTCAGAGTCCCATACTACAAGTCACGTGTCCACTGTTCAGAGTCCCATAGTACAAGGCACGTGTCCACTGTTCAGAGTCCCATAGTACAAGGCACGTGTCCACTGTTCAGAGTCCCATAGTACAAGGCACGTGTCCACTGTTCAGAGTCCCATACTACAAGTCACGTGTCCACTGTTCAGAGTCCCATACCACAAGGCACGTGTCCACTGTTCAGAGTCCCATACTACAAGTCACGTGTCCACTGTTCAGAGTCCCATAGTACAAGGGACGTGTCCACTGTTCAGAGTCCCATAGTACAAGGCACGTGTCCACTGTTCAGAGTCCCATACTACAAGTCACGTGTCCACTGTTCAGAGTCCCATAGTACAAGGCACGTGTCCTCTCTGGCTGGTGATGGCCTGTGACGTCATCACCCCCTCCCTCCCACCCAACACCAATACCCCGCCATTCGCCACGAAGCGATGGTGACGTCACCACGGCGCCCTGTGCCAGGCTAGGTGCACTTTGAAGCCAAACTCCCTCCCCCCACCCGGTTCGCGTCATAAACAAAAATGCCGCAATGGCCCGGAGAGCTCGTGACGTCACCCGGGCTGCAGCGCCCGGACCGTGACGTCACCCCGCTGCAGCGCCCGATGCGTGACGTCACGCCGCAGGAGATTATGACGTCGGCGCACCGGGACGTGGGCCTCTGTTTCCGGATGGCGGAGTGAGCGAGAGCCGTGCGAGCAGCAGCAGAAGCAGCCCCAGGTAGCGCGCTCGCTCGCTCGCTGCGTTTGTTGTGTACACACGGAGCGCCAAGGCGGATCCGTCTAGTGCCGAGAGGGGAGAGTCATTGCCGCCGCCGCTGCCGCCACTGTTGTTGTTGTTGTGAGCGAGTGAAGCCGCCACCCCCCACCCCCCTGGGGCGTTCGGACGGGCTGCGCGGCCTACCGCGCAGGCTGCGGGAAACACCGCAGACGCCGGTGGCAGCTGGCGCACGCTCGCCGCCGTGTACTGTACTGTCGGCGTGTACTGTACTGTCGGCGTGTACTGCCGGCTTGTACTGTACTGTCGGCGTGTACTGTACCGTCGGCGTGTATTGTACTGTAGTGTACTTTTGCCGTGCACTGCCGTTGCCGTGTACTGTACTGTCGGCGTGTACTGTACTGTCGGCGTGTACTGTCGCCGTGTACTGTTGACGTGTACTGTACTGTCGTGTACTGTACTGTCGTGTACTGTACTGTTGTCGTGTACTGTACTGTCGTGTACTGTCGGCGTGTACTGTCGTGGGCACTGCTGGGTCCTGTCGTCGTGTGTGCTGTCATTAAACCCTCCTGTGGCACTACAGTCGTGTGTACTGCCAGACCTCTGTCAGTGTGTACTGTCAGATTGTACCGTAGTGTGTGTTGTAATGTCATGTACGTGTTACGTCATGCGTGCTGTCATCAGTGCTGCCTTGTATTGAAGTGGGTGCCGTCATTGTGAACTGTGGTGTGTACTGTCATTTAACCCTGTCCCCCTACTGTCGTGTGTGCTTTCACATGCTGCTGTCAGTGTGCAGTCACATTGTACTGTGTGTACTGTCACTGTGTATTGTCATCTAATATGCGATGTCACCAGTGCTGTCATCAGTAATACAGTGTGTACTGTCATTACGTATTGTAGCGTATACTGTTAGTGTGTAATATCATTCCTGTTGTGTGTGCAGTGGAGTGTGTGTGTTACTGTATTTAACATCTATTTTGACCACGTAGTTCGCGAAGCCTTCAGTAGCTGTACCGGAGGAATTTCCGTCTGGTACAGATGCAATGGGAGGCTGATCGATGCCTGGGTGCGGTCAAGTGATGACTCCCTATTGCTCAACCACGTTACAGTGAGGGAAAAAAGTATTTGATCCCCTGCTGATTTTGTACGTTTGCCCACTGACAAAGAAATGATCAGTCTATAATTTTAATGGTAGGTTTATTTAAACAGTGAGAGACAGAATAACAACAAAAAAATCCAGAAAAACGCATGTCAAACTTGTTATAAATTGATTTGCATTGTAATGAGGGAAATAAGTATTTGACCCCTCTGCAAAACATAACTTAGTACTTGGTGGCAAAACCCTTGTTGGCAATCGCAGAGGTCAGACGTTTCTTGTAGTTGGCCACCAGGTTTGCACACATCTCAGGAGGGATTTTGTCCCACTCCTCTTTGCAGATCTTCTCCAAGTCATTAAGGTTTCGAGGCTGACGTTTGGCAACTCGAACCTTCAGCTCCCTCCACAGATTTTCTATGGGATTAAGGTCTGGAGACTGGCTAGGCCACTCCAGGACCTTAATGTGCTTCTTCTTGAGCCACTCCTTTGTTGCCTTGGCCGTGTGTTTTGGGTCATTGTCATGCTGGAATACCCATGACCCATTTTCAATGCCCTGGCTGAGGGAAGGAGGTTCTCATCCAAGATTTGACGGTACATGGCCCCGTCCATCGTCCCTTTGATGCGGTGAAGTTGTCCTGTCCCCTTTGCAGAAAAACACCCCCTAAGCATAATGTTTCCACCTCCATGTTTGACGGTGGGGATGATGTTCTTGGGGTCATAGGCAGCATTCCTACTCCTCCAAACACGGCAAGTTGAGTTGATGCCAAAGAGCTCCATTTTGGTATCATCTGACCACAACACTTTCACCCAGTTGTCCTCTGAATCATTCAGATGTTCATTGGCAAACTTCAGACGGGCATGTATATGTGCTTTCTTGAGCAGGGGGACCTTGCGGGCGCTGCAGGATTTCAGTCCTTCCCGGCGTAGTGTGTTACCAATTGTTTTCTTGGTGAATATGGTCCCAGCTGCCTTGAGATCATTTACAAGATCCTCCCGTGTAGTTCTGGGCTGATTCCTCACCGTTCTCATGATCATTGCAACTCCACGAGGTGAGATCTTGCATGGAGCCCCAGGCCGAGGGAGATTGACAGTTCTTTTGTGTTTCTTCCATTTGCGAATAATCACACCAACTGTTGTCACCTTCTCACCAAGCTGCTTGGCAATGGTCTTGTAGTCCATCCCAGCCTTGTGTAGATCTACAATCTTGTCCCTGACATCCTTGGAGAGCTCTTTGGTCTTGGCCATGGTGGAGAGTTTGGAATCTGATTGGTTGATTGCTTCTGTGGACAGGTGTCTTTTATACAGGTAACAAGCTGAGATTAGGAGCACTCCCTTTAAGAGTGTGCTCCTATTCTCAGCTCGTTACCTGTATAAAAGACACCTGGGAGCCAGAAATCTTTCTAATTGAGAGGGGGTCAAATACTTATTTCCCTCATTAAAATGCAAATCAATTTATAAAATTTTTGACATGCGTTTTTCTGGATTTTGTTGTTATTCTGTCTCACTGTTCAAATAAACCTACCATTAAAATTATAGACTGATCATTTCTTTGTCAGTGAGCAAACGTACAAAATCAGCAGGGGATCAAATAACTTGTTTCCTTCACTGTATGTATGCCGATGATTTGGTAATTGCAGCTCTCTCAGAGAAGGAGTTGGAGGCGCTGCTGCTTAACCTGGAGCTTGCCACCAAGAGGTGGGGCCTTACCATCAGCCCCACTAAAATTAAGCACATGCATGAGTATTTTGTACTATCAGGCACTCCACCCCCACAACTCCCAATTGGTGATAGGGCAGTTATGGAGAGAGTGGAGAGTTTCCCATACCTGGGCAGTGTGCTCATTACCGGCTCCGGTTTAACAGCAGAGGTCTTACTCCGAATCAGTTGAGCGGTATTATCTTTTTATCGGTTGCGTAACGTGTGGAAGCTACTTGGTCTATCACTCCGCACGAAGCTTCAGGTCTTCTCGGCCACGGTCATTCTATCCCTTCTCTACGCTTGCGAAACGTGGACTCCCCTAATGGAACATCTTCGCCGGTTAGAAACATTTAGGCTGGCCTGCCTACGGTCTATCCTGGGTTTAACCAGGTGCGGCACGGGTTAGAGAAGAGATGGAGTGATGTGATACAGGAGGATGTGGAGTGGACTTGCCAATGACTGGTACCAGCGGTGTCAAGATCGGCCTTTGTGGAGGAGGCTCGTGAAGGACGCTGCTTGGCAGTTGGAGGTAGTCGCCCTCCAACAACAACGGAGGGCGGAGGAGCGACGCTCACAAAAACGAGCGGAGCGCCGGGTGGCTAAAGCACAGCAAGTTGGTACAGTAGGGGCCACAGGTGATGCATCAGCCAGTCATCTCAGTCATCTCATTCAGTCGACCTGTGGCATCTGCGTCTGCCCCGTGACCTCCTGCCAGCGGGCGTTCGACAATTCACGTGGCCTTGAGGTGCACATAGCCTGGCACAAGCGTCTTGGTGACGTCACCGCCACTTAGTGGTGAATGGCGGTTGTTGTTGTTACTGTATGCTGTCAGAGTACTGTCATCAGTAGAGCATAATATCCACAATTAAGGTTTTTTTCGGTTAGATCCTGTAAATATAAATGTGTCGTTAAACCCGCCACCACCCAACATGGCCAGTTATTCATGGTTTGTCGCGTGAACAGAACGTGCCAACTCGCGTGACCACTTCAGCACATCGGTGTGTTGGAGAGTAGTAAAACCCACAGTTGATCAGTACCGCAGTGTGGTTTTGTAGTCATCTTGTAATTATCGCACAGCATTGCCATGAATTTACAGTACTGCTATGTGCCCTGTATGTATGTTGAACTTATTTCAACATTTATGTGGAGACTCTCATCTAGCATTGGATTGACATAAGGGCTCTGCATGTGCGTGCTGTGTTTAAGGCATTGGAGACAACACGTGTCTCAAACAGGACGGAATCAAGAAACAATACAAATATATGGTACAAAACTAGGCAATAGTAATGTATTGTTGGATTGAATCGCACCCCTGATTTACTAGCTATCATCGTGTCAAGGTCACACGACAGAATAATTCCCCTGGCACATGCGGGTATATATAAGAGATCTGCCATCTGAAACGTGAGCCTCGTTAGTTTCCAAGCGAATTGAGTCTCTTCGCGATATCTTTAGTAACACGTATGATGAGTATTGCTCACGCAGCGACCAAGCGTCATGCCGTATGAACCACGAGGAGGACATTGCCTTTATGATAATGTATTTCTTGCTTTAAGTTTGAAATATATTTAATTTTGCGTGCGGTGTATTCACTGCAAGTCCACGAGATGTGGCAATGACTTGGGGGGGGGGGGAAACAATCATCCAGCAGCGGCTGATGATGGGATTTTAAAAAATTAAATTACGGAATGGTTCTATTTGACAGAGGTTCAATGTTCTGTTAACTAATGCTCGCTGATTTGAAATTCCGTAAGGACACGTCAAAGATTTATTTCTACGATTTACTCCAGGAGAAAAATCGTTCCAATCAGAATGGACATCGCTTGTAATTGCAATCTCCATTGCAAATGCCAGCTCAGTATTTTGATCCATGACTTAATAGAGCAATGTAACTGCTGTTCATTTCATCAAAGCCTGTGCTGTGCGGAACATAGTTCTATTGTGGCTTTACGTGAACATTTCCTCGTGGCAAGTCGTGACGAATGCCACAGCAAAGTCGGATTTACCAGCAGTACTGATTGCACCATGTGAAGGTAATTGTGCTGGGGCTAACCCTGATACAGTTCCGTGTCTCGTCCAGCCCTCTCAGGACGTTTTACTTGCTCAGGGAAAGCTCTTCTAGCGACCGTGTGATTCGTGAAACTTTTGAGAATTAATGCCGCTGAAAGGCTTTTAATGCCGAATTACGAACTGGCCGTCTGATCCGTTT